GCAGCCGTATCAAAGAGTGTCGACTGACAAAAACATAAATACATACGCCATTATTGACTGCAGCCTGTATTTCTCCGCCTAGATTGCCCAAATTATGATGCGCAAAGCCTATTCAGCCCCGTCTCACGGCGAGCGGCGTCCAGCTTCGATATCCACGGCGACAAGTTGTTTGGCGGCCGTATAGCCACCCCGCCCGTATCACGCAGCTTCTTCGGTGCCTCCGCCCCCGCAGCCTCCAGTTGGGATGCGGCCTAGGCAGGGCTGCGCCGAGCTGACAACGCGCCTGCCAGGGCGAGCCACGCGTCCTACTGACGCCTGCGTAGCCGGGCGACCTCAGCCACGATACGCGCCTTGATGCGTGCGACGTTTGCCTTGATGCGCAGATGGCGCGGGGTGCCAGTCTCGATCGCCTGCAGTCTCTGCAATGTTAACTCTGTGACAAATTGCAAGTGGAGATGCGCACTTTGATCGCCGGGGGCTCTTTTCGTGCGAGCGCGAGCCATGGGACTCGTGTCTCTTGTATTTACCGCCGCCTCAGCTCGCGTTGGTGACTTCAGGGCAAACGCAGATGAAGATTGTGCGAACCATCAGGTGCTCGTGCATATTAGAATGCGGTCCTTGTGTGTCGGGCGCGAGATCGTCGTGCGGCTGAGCCCGATGGAAGGTGCGGTGCACTTTTAGAATCTCTCCCACTTGGCCGACCTGGCCACGGTAAGTTAATAAACTTTGAGTTTGTGCTTGAAATAGTGAGGGAACAACGAGCTCACTTGTACTCTCTGGCTCTCTGGCATTTGTGTGAGGCGAATACTATGTCAGGAGTTCTACGCCTTCCATGAATTATTCTTTCTCTCACTTGAATTGTGCTGTGTGTATTTATATAGCTTGTTAGCGATCACGATTCATACAAATATTCAAATGGTGTACCTATTACGGAGCACTTCTTATCTGCCCAGAAGCTGTGCTAGTGCGGATTTTTGACAAGTTCTTGATGAATGAAGTTGCAATAAATCATGGCGGTACAGAGTCGAGCCGCTGGGATCTGCACAACGCCTTCCCAAGGAATGTACGCACGCCGTTGCGGTATCGCTGTTGCCATCACGCGCCGGCGCACCTAGGCATTGCTCGGAGGAAGTTCGGCAAGATCTGGGCGTCTATCGGCACCTGCACCGCCCAATCACAGCGCACCGCATTCTAACCCTGCCGCCCAGTTCTATACCCCGCGCGTCAAGATAGGACGGGTGCGCCGTATATATAGGTTGGTGCCCTCTGAGCGAAATTCAGACCCGAACACCCAACATGAGCGCCACCACCACCACCGCTGAGAAGATAGCAGACACATCACAGGCCACGGCGGCGACCTTCACAGCAGCGGGTGAGATCCCGTCCAAATAGCGGCGGGAATATGGAAGCTGACTTTGGCGGCGGCAGACGCCTCCACGGAGGCCAAAGAGGATAAGAAAGAGGATAAGAAATCTGTCGCCAAGGAAGAGGAAGAAGACGAAGACGACGACGATGACGACGATGATGACGATGACGATGACGATGACGACGAGCAGGAAAGCGACGAAGAGGAAGACGATGAGGACATTCCGGTATTGTGCGTCCTCTCGATGCTGTCTAGCAATTCTTTCATGCTGATTCGCTCCCTCCACACAGCCCCGCCATGCCCCGTGCACAAGTGGTCCGACCTGTCGTTGGCCCCATTCGCCCACCTCCGCCTCGCCCACCTCCTCAATGTTGATGCAACATTGAGAAGCCGATCCTCCCTGCCGCCTCAACATAATATGCGTTCCTTTCCCTTGCACCTTTGCTATCTTACCTGTAATCCCCGTTCGAACTTGGACATCTCTCGAATTAGCAGCCGTATCGAATATAATCAACTGACAAAAATGTAAATACATACGCCAATTATCAACTGCCCTTCTCTCCCTCGCACGCTGCTGCATTATCCCCGCAACGCCAATTCAACCCCGCCTCACGGCGCGCGGCGTCCAACTCTCCGTTTCGTCGGGCTTCGATATCCACGGCGACGGCGCCGCACCCTCCGCGGGGCGCGCCGCCGGACCGCGTTGTTCGCTCGCCGCCGCCTCCTCAAGCGCAGGCAGCGCGAACGGCGCCGGCGACGCGCGTGCCTTCCGCGGCTTCGACGGCGTCAAGAAGCTCGGCGGGCGCACCACCGCGCCCCCCGCATCACGCACGTTCCTCGCGGCCGGCGCCTCCGCCTCCGTGCCCGCAGCCTCCGTTTGGGACGCGGCCGGGGCAGGCCCGGGCGCGGGCACGCCGCGCGCCTGCGCCGACGCGTCCGCCAGCGCGAGCCGCGCGTCCTGCTGGCGCATTTGCAGCATCTGCGCGGCCTCCGCAGCGTCGCGGGCCTCGATGCGCGCGACGTTTGCCGAGAGGCGCAGCTGGCGCCGGATGTCGGCCTCGAGCTCCTGCGGCCGGTGAGCCTTCGCCCATGGGAGCAGAACACGAATAGGGAACGCACCTCGATCGTCGGGGGTTCTTTCCGTGTGTGCGTGAGCCACGCGGACCATTGGACTGTGCAAGAACAAGACGACGTCAGCGACCCACTAAGTAGGCGCAGGAGAGATGCGACGCACTCGGCAGCCGCTTGCCCCCGCTGATGTACCGCCAGACCTCCTCCTCCTCGAAGTACTGCACTGTTCGCTTCGTGTAGCTCGGATCTAACCCGGTAGTCAGCGTGTGTGTGCAGCGACTCCACAGGCGCAGATGAAGATGATGCGAACCATTCGGTGCCCGTGCTTCGAAGAATTTGTTCCCTGTGTGTGGGTGAGTCCATGATGCCGTTGGTTCTGAGGAGGGTGTGCACTGCACCTTCTAGATCTCTCCCTACGTAGCGGACCTAGGTCACGGAAGGCTGCATGAGCTTTGAGTTCGTGCGTGTGGCAGTAGGGGAATAACGTGGCACGTACCGGACGCCGGATGGTATTCCAAAGCCTCGCGACGAACGACATTGTCTGAGTATTAATATTTCAAGAAAAAAAAAAGAGACGTGAGGCAGAAAAGTCCCAATGCTGGAGTTGTAGTAGTTGAAGTGCAAGCAAGGGCAGCGCCGGAGGCAAATTATCGATTAGGTCAGCACTCCAGGGTTCCCGGTGTTACTGGGCGAAAACAAAGTATTTATTCACACTACAGAAAGCAAAAGTCGGCCCAAAGGAATCAGAAGTCACCGCCGAGATCCTCCTCGTCTAGGTCTCCCTCCTGGATCTCCTTGGCTAGCTCCTTCTCTCTTTCTCGAGCGCCCTCGGCGGCAGCGAGCTCTTTCCGATGCGCATTCAGCGGGTACCTCATCGCCTGCAAAATATCACATTAACAACGTATTCACGCCAAATCAAAGAAACTGCGCATACCTTCACACTCTGATTATGCAGGTCCAAGCAAAACGCGATCCGGCGCCCGAACACCTCGCTGACCTCGGGCCCATAGCCGCTCTTCTGCGACCCGCACTCCATCCAGCCCTTCTCATGCACGATGCGCCCCTCGATGACGCCGTCGCGGATCGCCTTGCCGACGATGTACTCCGCGTCTTCCTCCGAGTCGAGGTTAAGCTTCACGCAGATGTCGCGCAGCGAGATGCGCGCGTACGAGAGCGACAGCCGCCGGATGCCCGTCTTGATCACGTTCTGCCGCAGGCGCAGGATGAGCGTGTACGTACTGTCGTCCGCGAACTGCGCCGCGTGCGCCTTCAGCGTCGTCTGGAACTGCGTGAGTGAGCCTGTGCGCACGGCTGTGGGTGGGGTGTGGTCAGCGGACGCGGGGCGTGTGTATCGGGCGGACACACACACCTTTGACGGTCTCGAAGTACGCGTGCAGCGCCTTCTCCAGCACCGCGTGCCGGAAGAGCGAGCGGGCGGGGATGTCGCCCATGAGGAGCTCGACGACTACGAAGTACTTGTGCACCGACTGGTAGAACCCCGGCGCGGTCTTCGCAGCGGGTGCGCGGCGGATGGCCTGCTGCAGGTTGGTGTGCGCCTCGCTGTAGTTGAGCTGAACGGCCCTGATGCGGCCGAGGTAGTAGTGGTACCGCGCAAACTGGGCGTTGCTCGCCGACGCAGGGAACGTGGTCTTTGAGACGAGCTTGTCGGCCTGGTCGTACAGGTTGTAGGCGATGTAGCTTCGGAGCAGACAGTTGATGAGGGCGGCGTGGGCCTCGTCGTCGTTTCGGAGCGCCGCTGTTCTTTGGGCAGCAAGGAAGAGTCTGCATAGCCGTATTATTATTAGAGTATGGTAACCGTAAAGGGCAGCTCACGGTCGTGCATCGGAAATCTCTGCGGCCAAGTCGTACGCGCGGTCAACTGCGTACCATATTTTGGCGGCGATGGCATCCATACTACGGCGATTCAGGGACTGCATCTTTTCGACGGTCTCGTTGGCGAGCTGTAGCGCCTTGCTTTGAACCTCTTCTGATGTAGACGCGAGGAGATGGTGAATGATGAGAAGGCGGAGATACATCTCGGCCTCAGGGACAACCTCTGAAGGCGTTTTCGCAGAAGAATCAATGTCCATCGACTGATCTGCCACGGCGGCCTCTGGGAGCCAGACCAGGAGGGAGGCTTTCACCGCGCTATCTGCAATGCACATTGAGCAAGAGCCATCGAAAACAGCGACATATCGCACCGTGGGCATAGATGGTCTCGACAGCATTCCGCAGAATCGTGTCGTCCAGGCGCTTGCGCAGAGCAGTCAATGTGCGCAGAACACGGTGGGTGAAGCGGGGCTCAAGCGTAGACACCGCCCGGTCGATGAGCGCGATGTTGTTCTTGATCTCAACGACTGGTGAGATAGGCGCTGGAGGCGCAGGTTTCTCTTCTGTGGTGGCCTTCTTCTCCTCTGCCGGTTTGGCTTCAGAGGGTTTCATTTCAACGTCGGGCATGGTGGATTGTGGGAGAGAGGTGGTGTCCGATCGAATCTAGCGGAGGTGACGCGTCGCGTCCAGTGGCCCGGAGGGCCGTATTTGTAATTATTTACTCTTCAATATCGTCTCGATAGCTAAGTGGTATAGCATGCGATTGCAGTGCAAGCAAACACCCATCGCAGGGTCCGGTGTTCGAACCACCGTCGGGACTTTGTTTTTGTTAATTTCGATCAACCACTTCCGGAATCCGGACGAAGTTCCAACTTCCTTTGCCGCTTGCAGTTGCGATTGATAAGTTTGAAAGTTTTACTGCGCCTAAGTAAGAAGAATATTTGACTGAAAGTGTAGGAGGTTACCGGTACTCGCCAAGCGCGTTTTGTCGGAACGCTAGGGACTAGTCCGAGGATGCCAAAGGCCAAAGAGCCAGCTGACTGCCAGGTGTCATTGTCTCGATAGCTAAGTGGTATAGCATGCGATTGCAGTCATGCAACCTATCGCAGGGTCCGGTGTTCGAACCACCGTCGGGACTTGATCTTTTGCATGTTCCAACTCTTTTCCGCCTTCATTGACCGTCGAGGGAAGGTATTTCGTTCAGTATTTTTCAGTTTTGTGCCTCGGAGACGCAATTGATGTGAGCAGGCGAGCCCGGTCCGGCCTGAATGGGAGTTTGCGCTGGCTGGGGATGGCAAACAACCGCCGGCAGCAATACGCTCACACGGGATATCGTGTCCAACACGTCACGGTCGACTGCGCTCACTACTTTTCCTCGTCTCCCTCGTCGCCATGTTCTCGTTCTATCCTGTATTACTGCTGGCTGCAGCAGCACAGGCCTCCGTTCTTACCCTTCAGTCGCCCAAATTCACCGTCACAGACTTCACCGGCTCGCAGTACCAGGGCGAATCGTACGTGCATTGGCACTGGGTTCCTGAGCAGCGCTAATCGCCTCCTCGACTTTGCGCAGACTATCCTTGACCAAGAAATTTGCGACGCCCGTTGAGCTGGCGCAGAAAGACACCCTCAAGCTCACGTTCCAGATCGTCGACGAGGCGGGCAACGGCGTGCAGCCGCACCAGACGTTCCTGCGCTTCTTCGACCCCAAGACGCACGAGGAGGGCATCCAGCCCGTGCGCGTCTCCCCCGGCGGCAAGGCCAAATTCGAGCTGGTGCGTGCGCTCCACCCCCTGCATGGCGTGCATATATCTAATTATCCATGACGCGCCGCAGAACCCCTCGAAGCCGCCCCTCTCGCTCCCGCCGACGCCGGACAGCGACCCGCTGCAGGTCACGCTCCTCGTCGGTTCGGCGCTGCACGACCCGCTCGCCGTCGCGCTCTTCGACCTCGTCCTCCCGCGCTCGCAGCCCGCGCCCGTGCACCCGCTTGAGGCGACGTACCACCCGCGCCCTGAGATCGCGCACACCTTCCGCGCCGCGAACCGCCTCCCGCCGACCTTCGTCTCCGCCGCGGCCGCAGGGCTGGTCCTCGCGCCGTGGGTCGTCCTCCTCGGCTTGGTGCGTCCTCGTTCCACGTGCGAACGCGCTAATACTAATACTAATATAATAATAATAACAGTGGTCCCAAACAGCGCCGAAGCCCGCGCGCCTGCTCTCGCCCTCCATACTACCTTTTGTGCTCACGCTCGGCGCGTTCGAGGCGCTGCTGTTCTGGTACTGGGTCGCGCTGCGCCTCGGCGACGTGCTGCTATACAGCGCGGTCCTGCTCGTGCCCACCGTCTTCGCCGGGCGGTCGGCGCTCTCGAGCATCGCCGCCGCGCGCCTCGGGGGCAAGTGAGCTGGAGGGGATGTACCGTGCACCTGTAAAAATGATCAATGTAATGGTCGGTTATTTATTGCGATGCGGTGTGCACGCTGATGTGGATGAGTGGGCCAGTATCTTTCTTGTTTTCTGATCATGACGTAGCTCGGTGATGACATTGCACATTGCATGGTTTCTCAGCCAATTTCTGTGCAATGCCTGTGATATTTGACGCAACTAACACCATCAGATGCGACATGTACTTTGGCACGATGGAGGTAAGCATTGCGGGGTACAGCACGGCCCCATCGCGGTGCCCACCTGCTGAACGAGGTACTGAGGGCGCTTATGTGGTGTGCCACAGCCGATAAGATTGACGGAACCAGGCACTGTCAATGCAGCAGTGTTTGATATAACCACCGGCAACCAACATGACGTGCACGGCGACAGACCAGTGCCTTTGACTTAAATGCAATACGAGTACGACCCGGATCCGCGAAAGGACGCTTGCTGTGCACGCCATGTGCCAGCCCGCTGCACCATGTGCCGGAGCGAATAACACAGCCATGGATGCTCTGCAATGGGGCGTATGTTGATTTTGGATCGGACACCCCGTATATCATGATGCACCGCGAACGCGCCGTGTACTAGGAATGCATATACGCACATCCTGTCCGCGCATAGCGCGCTGTCTCATAGCTATCAGATAAAGAAGATTGCCTAAGTCGGGGCACGGCAATGGGGCGTATGTTATGCCAGATCGGACACCCCCACATATCATGATGCACACGAACGCGACGTGTACTGGGAATGAATATATGCACATCCTGTCCAGCGCGCTGTCTCATAGTTATCCGATAAATAAGATGGCCACCGAAGCCCAGGGGCGCACGTTTATGCCAAATCGGACACCCCAACATATCATGATGCACACGAACGCGACGTGTAGTAAATAATGCGTATACACTCATCCTGTCCATGGCACACAGCGCGCTGTCGCATAGCTGATAGTAACAGATAAATAAATAAGATGGCTCCGCAGAAGCCCGCAATGCCATGTATGCATTGCACGACAGTAAGTATGTATGTACACTATTTAGATATATTTTCTGCGCCTCCTCACGGCCGGTCACAGCTGGAGCGGCGGCACGGGGATGGGCGTCGGGAGCTTCGCATTTGGGCTGATGGCGGGGAGCGGCGGCCCCTGCTTGAGCTGGAAGGAGCCGGTCGGCGTCAGGATGCTGTTCGGACTGCCGTACACGGCCTTCGCGGGCGGCGCGATGAAGGGGTGCGCCTCTGTGTTGAAGACGACTGGACNGGGGGGGGTCAGCACGGCTACTGCAAGGACATGTCACGGTACGCACAGTCGTCGAGGCTGATGTGGTTCGGGTCGTCGAACGTAAGGTACCTACACGCGCACAATCACGTCAGAAAAGCACGCCCGCAGAAGAAGAGGGGAGCAACGCACAGGTACTTCAGCACCTCCGCGTACCAGAAGCTCTCGCCCGCGTCGAGCAGCGGCGCGGTGACGTTGTTCACGTCGTTCAGGCACGCGAACCCGCCGGGCGTCTTCAGGAACGTGTTGAAGCTGCGCACCGCGCTCGCCGCGCGGTCGAGGTACTTCGTGTCGCCCGTCGCGCGGAACGCGTAGAAGTTCGACTCGAGCACCTCCGGCCGCTGGATGTAGTCCGACGACGTGATGTAGTACCCGTGCTTGTTGTAGAACGCGAGCTGCTCGGGCGTGATCGGGTCGCCGCCGGTGAAGTTCCCGTCGGACGAGATGTACGCGAAGGCCTCCGGGCCTATGCCCGTGCTGCGGGGGGTCAGCGGGGGGATGCGTGCGCACGGGAGCGGCACTTACGCGTCGCCTGCGTAGGTGTTCCAGCACGCGTCGACGAGTTCGAGCGCGATGTCGACGATGGTTTGGTTGTTCAGCATCTTTCCGCCTGAGGCCACGCGCCGAAGTCAGCAGGGGAGCGAAGAATCCACACCGGCCAGTGGGACGCACCCATAATCCAGTTCCCGCCATTGTAGCAAGCTAGGTGAGAGCCGATGTGAAGAATGGTGTTTTCATCGAAGTCGGCGAGGTACACATGGTTTCCAACCGTCGATGTCTGAGGGTAATACGGTCAGCGGGAAGGCAATTGATGAAGCATATAATTCTGATTGCACTCGCCCTCTTCAACACTTTGATTGAGGAGTCGACCGCGGTATGCCAGGTATCGGCGAACAGATTGTTATTTGTGTTCGAGAGCCTTGCGTGCTTGATGAGATATTCAAAGTAACTATCCGATCCTCCTCCCCAAGTCTAGTATTTATAGATTTAGCTGCGCTCTCCGTTTATCGCCACTGAACGAGAGGCCACTCACGACGTAACCTCCAACGAACTCGCCGCTAGTGGGGTCGATTCCTTGAGCAGCCAGACCTAGAAATGCATGTCATGAATCAGAAGCTGCGTATTGACGTGTTGCACATTCATTGAAGAAAATATGCACCAGGAAGAGGGGCAGGCTAGAACGGAGATGGAATTAGATCTATGTGTACGAGAGAAAGCGACAAAAATAAAACACACAAGGTTCGCGATGTGTTCGACGGCTTTAAGCGCAAAATTTGCGTAGGTTTGATTCCCAGTGTACTTGGTAAGAGTCTCCATTTCGAGAGTCAGCTGCAAATCGAGAGTCAGAAGCAATCTGTGAGAAATTACAAACAATACGCACTGTCCCGGCTTCCGCAATGTTGGACTAATTCATTTTGGGATGGTCAACATGTCAACATATGAGCGCGATCCATGGCCATGACACGCACTGTGGCAATTTGTGGGGTGTTAGTCGCGAAAACGATTTCACCGAATGGTATATCATTGCTCTATAAGCTCAGTGATCGTCAGTACGAGATTATAGGCCTTCCATACGCGCCTCGGATCGCGACTAAGCTGACGTACCCCAACCCACGCGAAAACTAGTTTATCTCCGACTTCTTTCGCCTTCTGCAGGAGAATCGGGAATTGGAAGTTGCTCTGCTCATAGGCGCTTAAAAGCCCGCCCAGGTATCGAATGGTCGTCTCGAACACGCTGCATGAATGGAATCTAAGGCACAACTTTGGGAGGACTATATGGGATCCGCGCACCTGACGGTATCCGGCGTCTGCGATTTGCTGAAGTCGATTGTGCTGGAGAAGTTGACGGCCTGGAGGAACAGCGTCTGGACGGCGTTTGCGCGCTCAGCCGAGTTAGCGCTGTCGGAGGGACTAACTCACTTCTAGACCCATGATGTGCTGCAATTAATGAATGAGCAGCCGAAAAGCACATAAAAAAACCGAACAGACCATCGTATCCATTGCATCGACGATAGTCGCCCCTGCGTTCACCGGACAATGAGAAAACAATCCCCCCCTGCAATATTATCGGAAATACCCACCCCAGCCATTGCGGTCATCGACGAAGGCTAACAAGAGATGT